AAGGACACATCTAAAAACAATGCAGACAGGACAAAGTCAGGAGCAGCAGATACTGCAACATGACTTACCATTTATACAACGTCTTTAAACATGCAAAAAATCAGGTGTTGTTTATGTATATATACATTTGTATAAATATAAAACCATGCATGGAAATGATGAACAACAAGCTCAAAAATAGTTACTTCTAGGGATTAGAGGGGAGGAGGGAACTGGGAGAAGTAACAGGAGGGCTTAAATTGTATTTGCAATATTAATTTCTTTTAAAAATATTAAATATCATGAAATGATAAGAATGGACAAAGCTGGGTAGGTGGGTTTTATTATTTTATTATCTTATATTATTTTGAATGCCCGTTCCATGACATCAGGAACCTTGTTTTGTTGACTGCTGTATTCTTGGAACCTAGAACAATGCCTGACACATAGTAGAGCCTCAAAAATTGTTAAATGAATAAATGAATGATTCTCTCTACAATTCTATATATTTGAAATAATCTTTTTAAAATAAAAATAAAATATAGAAATAAACATGAAAAATATTGTGCTTTCTCAGCAAAAACAAGAATGGACAAAATAGAAAAAAAAATTTAAAGAGAAAAATATTACGCCTTCTCACAGCACACATATTTGTGAAATCTGTGTGAAAGGAAAGAACACTTTTGGGGACCAGGAGCAGTGGCTCACACCTGTAACCTCAATGCTCTGGGAGGCTGAGGCAGGTGGATCACTTGAGGCCAGGAGTTTGAGACCAGCCTGGGCAACATAGCGAGACCCTGTCTCTAAAAAAAAATTTTTTTTTAATTAGCTGGGCATGGTGGCACACACCTGTGGTTCCAGCTCTTTGGAAGCTGAGGTGGGAGGATTGCTTGAGCCCAGAAGGTCGAGCCTACAGTGAGACGTGGTTGTACCATTGCACCACTCCACCCTCGACGACAGAGTAAGACCTTGTCTCTTAAACAAGGAGGCTTTTGGAGAAATTAAAGCTTCGAGTTCCTAAGATAAAAATACATGTTTAAAGATTGGAAGGAGGGAGGCCTGGGATGGTTCACATTGGATAAATCTATAGATTAGGATGGTTCATCTTAAATCTATAGAATGGAAATTTCTAGCTTTATGTTAAGGTCAACAAAGAATGAGTGAAAATCAATAGCTCAATCTGCATGAGCTGCACTCTTTTCCAACCTGACCAAGTATACTTGCTATTAACATCTTAAGAAACTCTAAAATCCAAAATAGCCCATCACTTGTATCCTGTGGTCCAAATGCCTTCAAGATCCGTGAGCAGGCAAGGTCTTCCCCAGTACCTTCCCGCTCGCCCCCGCAACACGCACAGCACAGCACAGCACACCATTGTGTATCACTGTTGCATGGACTCCAACATTTTGAGGCAGTCCCATCATTCAGAAAAGGCACACAAAAAAATACATATGGAGACAAGCCATGTTTCTTGCCATTTTCATTTAACTCATCAGGAAATGGCAAACCACAACAGCATGCACCTAGATCATGCATTCAGTAAGACCAAGACAAACAAATTGAAAAGTACCTCGGAAGTCACCTTGCAAGACAGTAACTTAGAGGTGTACTGGCAGAGAGGGAAAAGACCAGGGTTAGTACATGGCAGTGACACACTTACAGAACACCCCCTAGCTGGGAACAGGCACCACACCAGGAGTGGATGGGAAGGGAAGTAATACCAGGAGACCATTCCACACCCATGCCAAGACTTGCTCCATCTGATATTAGTTTATTTACAAGTCTGTCCTTTGCGGCAACTAAATACCCTATTATTCACTAATAAAAATATCAGATAAGCCATACTTTGTTAATTCAAACTGTTGCTTTCATTTTCTGCACTTTGAATTAACAAGATTCCTTCTCTTCTGTACACAACCAGCTGCCCACCGTCAAGGTCCTTGGGGGCCATTTTGGATTTGCTAGAATCTGTAGCCAAATAGCCTTTTCTCTTTCCATGGGCTTCTCTGAACCCCAGAGCCATCTTGTAACCAGTTGTTCCATTAAAAGAAGATCCTAATCACAGGAGTTGGGCTGTGGAGGCAGATTCTCTGAAACTGACCTAAGGGTAGCCCTGCCTAGGCAGACAGACCATACTGCCTCTATCAGAGCCTTGGGGGCCTGGATGAGGTGCTGAGAGTGGGATCATCTTTTGATAGCAATTTTGGATGACTATTTAGCATTAGTATGAGCACTTGGGAACTGAAATGATCCTTTAGTTCCTATAGGGGACCAAAAGTCTTCCACAAAATACAGAAGAAAGTGGCCTGACTATGGGAAATGAGACAGCAGGACCAATTTGGGGCAGCCCTCTCCAGAATTACGGTAATGAGCACACATTTACACTGCTTGGGGCATTTAAGGCAGTATTGGTTCGGGGCATTGATAGCCATCGACTAGGTAGTAGGATCACACATCTGTGATCACTGACTGCTTCTTATACGTAACACTCAGGAATTACAGTTCTGTCATGATTGGGATAATGGCGGGGAGCTAACAAATCAGGGGCTCTTCTCTCTCCTTTGCACCTTCCGTAGGATAGGAGTGAGAACGCAAAAGTGAGAGTTAGGGGAGCACAAAGCATCACTCAGCTTCCTGTAGAGTCTGGGTGAACGGGAGGCAGATGGGCTTCCTTTGCTCACTCAGCGGGAGCGTGGCCACAGCTCTCAATGCATGACCTGGTCTGGAAGGGTTACGTGTGCCAGGAACTCTCAGCTTTGATGTAGCCCAGGAGAACTGATGAGGTCTTCTTTTGTTCTAAGACAATACAGAGTGGTTGGATGACTTCTCAGTAATTAAGTCTTGGGATGAGAAAGAGAAGGAGAGCACATAGGAAAACCCCAGTGAGAGCAGATCCTGTGCTAGAAGTAAAGATGGGGCTGAATACCTGGGAGGCTATAATTTGGACTCTAGCAACATCCCTTCAACTGAGAAAGATAAAGCAAACCCTCCAGATATTTATGAGCATCACTGACTCAATGACCCATCATCTTCTCTTTTTTGAGGCTCAGGTCAGGTTGGGGAAACAATTGGCTAGAAAAATACTGTTTGCTTAAATACAGTCTTGTAATTCAAGATGGACTGATGAATAATAGTTTCCTAGAGGGATTCTTCATGCCTAAAGGAAAAACATCCAAATAGCCCATCATTTGTGCCCACTGATCCAAATGTCTTCCAGATCCATGAGTGGGCAACCCCACCTTGGAGGCAGTCCCTTTGCAAGGCATCAAGAAGCCCTTTAGGAAACTAGGATTCGCTAGTCCATTATGAATTGCATGACTGAGCAGAAATGGTATGAGACCCAGATGAGGGGACATTTCCACATAAGAGAACATTTCCAGATAAGAGAAACCCACAATATGAGTAGGATTGCTGCATCTGGTGTGTGGTGTCTGCACTGCACGAAAGCACCAGGCTAAAGGGATGAATGGTGCTGAAGCCCAGTCCCCTATTGTACCTCCAAAATATGTGGCTGGTGCAGGGCTGTATCTTCACAAAGGAACAAGGGTGGTTTTCTTCTAATTCACACAAAGGCCTTGCAAGGTTGGTAAACAGCCCTGGGTAAGTGGGTAGGGGTGGGGATAGTAATTCTCCTGCTCCCAGAATTAGCCAAGAGGTCCTTTAATAAGTGAGGCTGGAGATACTCATTGGTGACTGTGATATGCAGGACAAAGAAATCAGCCCAGGTGGGTGAGGACTGTAGCCACTAAAGGGAGTATTTTGCTCAGGTTCTGAGCTAGTAACAAATATGGCCGGTTGGGGATAACTTTTTTTTTTTTTTTTTTTGAGATGGAGTCTCACACTGTTGCCCAGGCTGGAGTGCAGTGGTACTATCACAATCTTGGCTCACTGCAATCTCCGCCTCCTGGGTTCAAGCAATTCTCCTGCCTCAGCCTCCCAAGTAGCTGGGACTACAGGTGTGTGACACCATGCCTGGCTAAGTTTTTTGTATTTTTAGTAGAGATGGGGTTTCACCACATTGGCCAGGATGGTCTCCATCTCCTGACCTCGTGATCTGCCCACCTTGGCCTCCCAAAGTGCTGGGATTACAGGCATGAGCCACTGCACCCGGCCAGGGATAACTTTTATAGCACTACACCCTGACTCCCATATGCCAGGGGCCTCCCTGCATATTACTTTTTATAAAGTGGAAAACTGGAGAGAGCAGGGCCCAGAGCCGAGTCTCTGTGGACAGGACTCCAGAGGCCACCACAGCTCTCATGGGGGTTCAGGGGACACTGAACCTGTTTTGATGGCAAAGATCAGTTTTTCTCACTCAGCAAAACTTCTGGCATAGCCACATTCTATCTTTCTCCTTCTCTGTCCTTCGCTCTCCTCAATATCATTGTGTCTAACTTATCACACTTTATATACATTCCAATTATTAGCCTGTCTTGTTTTTAACTCTGCCTTCTCCTTAGAAAGAATAGAAAATAAGAATTATTTTTGCTCAATTCGTAAAGAACTGTAACTTTCAATGGGCAAACACATGGTTGTGTTCTAATCATGTGACAGGCACTGATTCTCAGGTGTGGTTTATCATCTCCAAAAGGCCATGGCAAAATGCTGCTAAGTGTTCACTGGAAAAAATATCGGCAGATGGAGGTGCTGGGGGTGATGCTGCATAACATGGGGAGACGCTGGGCGTGTAAGTTAAGCCACTGAGGTGCTTAAAGGGTGGAGAGTCTAAGAAGCCATGTTTCTCCCTGAGAATAGTGTATGTAAGTGGAGGCCAGAGACCTGAATTACTTTATCTTTCAGAGAATTACTTTAAGCTTGTACGGATAGGTAAGCCAGTTACACAACTCAACCACCCAGCAATCCATCTCCTCTCTATTACCATCGTTCTGGTATAAGAGACAATTAAGGAAAAAAAAAATGAAAAAGGGGCCACAGATTGGCTAGGGAAAAAAAATGAATCTTTGTTCATCCCTACAGATAAACTTCAACATATTCACCAGCGATCGACATAGATACGGGAGAAAAGGTCCCCTCAATCGGAAGGGCTAGGAGAGGGCTCTCATTCGACGTCTGACTGAGGATCGCATCTTTGCTTTAGAGGCAATCTGAATTTATTGTTTTAGATTTGGGTCTCTTAAATGAGCATATAGCAGATTGGTAGATTTTGTCCTGCTCCTAAGAATTTTCAACAACAACAACAAACTTGGTTCTGTTGTAATAGCAATAACAGTGCAAAGATCCAAGATCCAGGGACATTAACAGCTTAATTAGTTAGGTCTCTTCCTTTTTCAAAATGTTTATTTACTCGGAAATATAGAGACAGGAGGCTGCCTGTCTAAGGGAGGGGCAATCAGCATATTAAAACTGACTCCAGGCAGCATCATTCACGCAAAGGACAAGCCCAACCTGGCTGGCATTCGTTAGGCGGCTGCCGGAGTGTCAGTGTGTGCAGGAAAGAGGCTTCCAGCCCTCTATCTTTATGAAACGAGTGAGAGCTGCCTCTACTCTTCTGTATGGAGTATTTTTCTCTATCGTCTGCACTCCGATACAAAAGACGTACACAAGTGACAAGTAGAGTGTGCTCAGCAAACACTCACATGGGTCACAGACTAAGTGGTTCTACTTGTGCTTCCCCATCCACACCAGAGTGTGGGGCATCCACTTGGCTAAATTCTACCAAAGCTGCTGACGTATACGGCAGAGTCACTGGGAGAAAAGCAACAAGACACCTAGGGCACAAAGCCTCAAAATGATCTAGCTTCCAGAACATTCCTAAGGTAAACTCTATCCTTTTAAGCGGGGCTTCAAAGAAGGACTGGTGAAAGTGACTGGGCAGCCAGGGAAAAATCCTACAGGCTCACGAAAGGAGCTGCTGCCTCCCCTACTGTGAAGTTTAGCAGTGGAAATGTCTGCAGCAGCTACCAAGGGCCAGGCCTCATCCCACTGTCTGACACAGGCAACAGCCCAGTAAAACAGCTGCAACCTGAGAGAGCAGCTGAGCCAGTGCTCCATGCAGTTCAGGTGTAAACACAGGGAAAGCCTGGCAGATGCCGAATGAGTAGCCAGGCTGCCATATATCTGTTTGCTTTCCTCCTTTCTTTACCACCATGTATTTTGAAAGTAACTCTCAATTTCTGGGCTTCACCTCCAGGAATCCTTTAACTTAGCCAGCTAGGATATAAAAGGCAACAAAGCAGCATGGAATTCTTACTGTGAACCCCATAGCATTCAAGTTTAAGGTGACCAGATGGTTTATCACCCAAACTGGGACACTTCTAAGAGGGAAATGCAGGCTGGGCACAATGGCTCATGCCTGTCATTTCAGCACCTGAGGAGGCTGGGGTGAAAGGATCCCTTGAGCTCAGGAGTTGAAGAACAGCCTGAGCAACATAACGAGACATCCTCTCTACAAAAAAGTTTAAAAATACGCTGGGCGGGTGACACATGCCTGTGGTCCCGGCTATTCAGGAGACTGAGTTGGGAGGATCGCTTGAACCCAGGGGGTCAAGGCTGCAATAAGCCATGATTGTAGAGACAGGGTCTGTCTCTGTCACAACCTGGGTGACAGAGACAGACCCTGTCTCAACAACAACAACACAAGAATGAATGGGGATATTAATCATCACAACATTGCAACAGGCATAAGCCAGGACTGCCTCAGGTAAACCCGGCAGGATCCTCAGCCAACCCAAATGATTTGTGACTTAAGTACAGTCAGCGGAGGAGGTGATGACCTCAATATGTGCTAAGAGGCTGGTACCAGAAGACCTACAGGAGGTCGGCATAAACCTGAGGCTGATTTCCAGACTCCTGGGACTGTGTAGAGCAACAGCTCCTATGTCTCTAACTGTAGGAAGAAACCACAGAGCAGATGACTTCCTTCATAGTTAATTTGAACGTTATGTGCAAAGGTACTAGGGCTTGGGGGTAGCAGAGTAGCCACGTGGTTTTCAACTGTCATTTTAACTGGCTCTTTGCTGTCAAGCTATGCAAGTGGGCTTGTTAACAGCTCCAAACACACTCAGTCTTTTAAGCACTGTGTAACATTGTGACGGATTGCCCAGAGAGCTGGCTTTGAAGAAACAACATCTTCATCCTTCTCTAGAGAAATAAATTCCCTACTGGGCAATGGTAGAAATCAGCTTCCAGGTGCTTAGAGATCATTTCAGGGCACTTGCATCCTTCACCCTGCGTGGCCCTTGCATGCGGTCTCTGCACAGCAAACATCGCATGCACTAGCTCTGCTGATAGACTTCAGCTATACTTGGCAGCAAAGGACCAGCTCCCTGCATGATCAACAATTTTTTTTTGAAACAGGCAAAAACCCAAACCCAATTCCAGGCATGTGAAACCACATGTCAGGAAACTGATATTGGAACCCTAATGCTGACCAGACAACCACATACACATTTTGTGCCTGAACTGGAATGCCACACGCCATACCGACTGCCGCGCTCAGAGGAGTGAAAGAGGAAAGGAGGAAAAACTTACACTACTATCATCCATTCTCTCGCGCCTTTTAGATTTGTGTGTCTCATAGTCTTCCATGAGGGTCTGCATCAGATTCTTGGGCCGCTGGATTCCGGCAGCCTCTTCGGGGGTTAAGTCAGGCTGCAAGCTGGGGCCTTCAGTGGTGGGGGATGGAGGAGGTTTGACTTTCTCTATTTTCCCTGAAACAACACGAAGAGAAGACCCTTTCTAAGCTTGTCTGCGCATGACTGCTTTTAGAAAGAGGAGAAAACTGGCAAATAAAAGACCAACAACCTCTGACACAGATAGTGGTACCAGAATGATGGTTAAGTGTAGGCCATTTTATTATATTACAGAATCAAAGCACTTACAGTTAAAGCACAAACCCATCCAAAGATCTCAAGGACACTGAGTTCTAAAAAGTCAATTAGATCAAACAGGCCCGGCACACATACTGCAAATATATGTTGGACAGACAGACAGTGGCTCCAGTTGTTTTGAGACATGTATTCTATCATAGATCATAGAATTAGACTGTCAGAGGTGATGGCGCCTTAGAGACTCAGAGACCCACTTCTTTACAGATGAAGGAGCTTGAGACTCTGCCAAGGGAAGGCTGTGCTGAGGTCAGAGGGAGCCAGTGATGGTACCCAGGCCTGCTTTCCTCACCAGGGTCTATCCTCTAAATCACAGGTAGCCAATTGTCTGCTGACCTGCCCGGCTTTTTGTGCAGAGAGACCAGTGTTATAAAACTTTTAAATAAGGACGAGGCTCGTTCTTCTCAGGGCACCCTGGTCTTACACTGGCCAGCTTCATTCATTTACCTCACCCACTGGGGTCCTGAAACATTTGTGTTTAAGGCCTCCCAGACCTTAAGAAGTATACACCAACAAAGGCAGTGGAAAAGGTGCACACCAGCCTTGGGAATGGGGAGATTTTAGCTCTCTTGATGTCCTCCAAGAATCCTCAGGAGGACATCTCTCCACAAGGGTGGAGAGATGAGGTCAGTGGTTAATTCAACAGTGGTGTGGTGACTCCATGCACTCTCACAAAGACCATTTGCAACCCACCCTCCAGAGAAATGCCTGGCCCTGGCTTCTGGCCCTTCAAGGCGTGGGTTTATTGCCACAGAGCCCCAAAAGCACTTCAGAGAAGTATCTTCAAGTACAACAATTACGATTTCTCCAATTATGCCTTTTGTGGTTGACGCGGCTAGAATCTGTGAACAAAGGATGTGGAGGAAACACACAAGATAAATGGGACTTGTATGGCCCCATTTGGGAGGTGAAAGGCCCAGCTGACCTCTTCCAGTTCCAAGCTGAAGGGGACCCACCTTTCTCCATCTGACATCCCAGACTTCTAACTTGACACCTGCCTGATGTAGCAGGAATCACAAGTGAGGCCTGGTGTCGGTGTTTCCATGTGGGCTGCTTTAGCCCTTTGTTGGGTATAATCTCCTTCTGATGAGCACTAGAAAGGCCTGGAGTCTGGGAAACCCAGGTTTTTAGCTCCTGCTCTTCCAGTCCTGGGCTATGTAATTGACTACAGATCATCATTTCACACTCCCACTTCAATCGTGGGCTGATCACTTAAATTCTAGATTTAACCGCCATAGCTGTTAAACGGGAATTTTGGAAGACGTTGTCTTTGTGGTCTCTTCTCACTCAAACATTTTGCTATTTTATCAAATACGTTTGGCAGGATCCACCCTTACTGATTTTTTTTAAGGCATTTAGCCATCACATTTGGGGATTAGGTGGAAAACAGTTTTTACTACGCAGAAAAGGCACTCCATTTCACAGCCACATTACGTTAATAACAGTGAAATTCATTGCTTTGATCTAAACTGCCCAGATAACTAGAAAGTCTTTTGATATTAACAGTACAATAATAAGTATTTCAAAATCCCTAGATTCCCTAGAAATGGTTTCTATTTTTTATTATGGAAATTAGGGAATGCTATAATTACGCCTATAAACATTATAAACGTCACCCAGAGTAAACATTTTTCAAGATTTTGGCATAATTGGCTCTTCCTTCCTTCCCTAGACTTGCCGAATTATTTTAAAGCAATACCAGACCTCAGGTCACTTTACTCCTGTACACTCAGTATGTATCTCCGAAAATTCCGATCGACTTTTTAATTGAAGGTTTAAGAAACAGTGTAGCACAGTGGTGAGCACTCAAGCTCTGGAGCCAGCCGGTTTGGATTTGAATCTATGACTTGGCAGTCAAATCACTTTGGGCAAGTTACTTACTCTTTCGCTATCTTAGTTTCCTCATCTGTAAAATGGGTTTGATGATACAGGTACCTACTGCATATAGTTATTATAAGGATAAAGTTAATATCTGTAAGGTTAATATTCAGAACAGAAAGCATCCAATGAAACCTAGCTACTATTTAATTGGAATCTCAAAGAATAATATGACTATCGGGTGAAATGAACAATTTCATGCATATTCTGCATAAAATTCTTGCATCTCTTCTAGTGCCAGAAATAGACACCAACTACCAGGTGATTTTTCATCATTTTCCAGTCGACCTCTCAAGTGTCCAGATCACCTCCCATCAGCCATTCTCCCAGCATTAAACATCTAGAAAGCACAGCCTATATTCATTGCTTCTAGCTTCTGCCTTTCACACACAGCACAGTGGAACTCCTGTTTATATTTCTGTGAAGGCCGTTTTCACACACTGACTTGAATCATATCTGGTTATTGAAGCTTTTGTCTGCTTAGTCAAGCTATAACATCATCTTGGGGACAGGAAGGTATGTTTCACCTGTCTATGAATCCCCTTAATTCACTTGAATGTAAATTCCATTAGAGTAGAGCCTTGCCTGTCTGATCATTGTCAGATCCCAGCAGTAGCTGTGGTACATGGCACGAGGGAGGAACTCATGTTTGCGGAGTAATCAGTAAGTCCATTATGAAATATACGTAACAACCACAAGTAAATGCTTGTGGACTGGGACAGAATCTCCCACAGAGAACCAGAAGAAAGGGCTTAAATGCCTTCACCAAAATACATGAATTAAAACATTTTAGGTCTGCAGAATTACAGACTCAGTGGCTTTGGAGTAACAAGTGGATTTGTATATCATTTCCTTTGTAGGCTTCATGTCATTTGAGCCTTGCAACAACCCTGAAATGTAGTTAGGGTGGATGTCATGACACCTGGATGTCATGACCACACAGGCTCAGACACCAACTCCAGCCCAAGTTACATGAGATAATAACAGTCACAGTCTGGAGCCCAAAACCCAGTGTTGATGATGGGTGAATTAAACGATGAGACGTATGCAGAAAGAATGCTGTAAAGAGGGTAAAGGATGACTATAGAGAAGTGGTCAGCCATTAAACATCAAAGACATTTCCTGCTTATTTATGATTTCATCCCTGGAGCACGTTTTTCCAGTTCTAGCCACTAGAGGTCAGAGGAGTAACAGGAAAGAAAGGCTGACTTAGGCGTTCTGGAGCAGGAGTTTCCAGGGATAAGGGGGCTGAGAATGGTTGCTTTGGATAACGGGGCCCATGTTCTGGTTCTCTCTATTTAGCTTCTCAGCAGAGACTGTCACGGGTCCCCAGAGAGAGAAGATACTATGCCTTATCCCCAGACTTCTGGCCATCATTCTGGTCAGTGTCGAAGGAAGCTAGCTCAGCCAGGCTTCTCTGCCAGGCCCTGTGACTTCTGATGATCCTCCCCCAGTATGACTCAAACCAGGCACCAGAATTCTGGGGGTCATCTAGGAATCACACAGGCTGCCAAAAGGCTGGAGAGCAACCTGTTCAACACCTGACAACTTCCTCAGAGGTCCAGAGTTTGCGGCCAGTGGTCCTCTCCATTAGGATGGTGACAGCACTTTGTATGCTCTTCCCCCAATAGTGGACACTGCAGATAGCACCACAGTTTGGGTCTTGGAGATCATTACATGCATGTGATGCAAACAGTCTGTGCCACAGGCCTGGGAGCTCAATCACTTCCTTTTTCATGACCCCATAAGGCCCCTTGAAGTCCCATGGCCCAGAGGACATACCCCATTAGACTCCGCAAGCTGCATGCATCTCACCCAGCACCTCCCCAGTCACCCCAGGTCCACTGTTGCTTACTCCCTCAAACTTTGCTCTGCCCTCAGTTTATTCACCTGATGAATGATTCAATAGCTTGTGATACCTGAAATTAGCCCCATTTTCAGTGAGTACATCCTGCCATCCAGTTCCTCACCTGCACTGAACACTCCATAGAACACTTTTTTTTTATTTAAAACTAAGTCCCGCTCTGTCGCCCAGGCTGGAATGCAGCGATCTTGGCTCACTGCAACCTCTGCCTCCAAGATTCAAGCAATTCTCCTGCCTCAGGCTTCTGAGTAGCTGGGATTACAGGCGCCCGCCACTACACCTGGCTAATTTTTGTATTTTTAGTAGAAACGGGGTTTCACTATGTTGGCCAGCCTGGTCTCAACCTCCTGACCTCAAGTGATCAGTCTGCCTCGCCCTCTCAAAGTGCTGGGATTACAGGCATGAGCCATCGTGCCCGGCCAGAACAGCCCTCTTGAATGACCTGTCACTATCCCTGGACAGCAACATGAACACACAGTGCCATGTAGACCTCAGGGCAGACCTGTATTGGCCCTGGCTGATGGCCAGTCCAGACATTTACAGAGCAGGGAACAGGTATAATTAATGTGACCTCTACAATGAACATAAGGAACCACTAGAACAAAGTTACACTGAAATTCTGAGTGGAGGATAGGAAACATGTGAGTTTATTTCATGAACATGATTATATTCAAACTATTCCATCGGAATGATTTTAGACAAGCTTTTGAAGGTGTTTGAGGGGAAGCGGCTTCACTTGGTTAGGTTGACTCCAAAGCTGTGTTTCTAACATTGCGTCCTGTTACCTTAGCTTTATAAGATAGTACTTGATGCTGCGAAGAAAAAAATCTTGGGTCAAATTAAGCTTGGGAAACACTTGGTTAAAGAAAGCAGGCAGAGACAGGGGGGATTTGGTTATCAGAGGAATTCTGGTTTCAGTGCTAATAAGATTGTGAAGCTCTAATTCAGGGATGGGGGTGTACCATTTCTCAAGTTTATCTAACCAGAAAATCTCACTTCACAGAATCTATTAAATACCTCAAGAAAAAGGCCAGGCACAGAGGCTCATGATGTAATCCCAGCACTTTAGGAGGCTGAAGTCAGAGGATCACTTGAGCTCAGGAGTTTCAGGCCAGTCTGGTTAACATAGTGAGGTCTTATCTCTAAAAAAAAAATTTTAAGTAAACGCAGAAGAAAAAAAAAACAGTTTAGGAAATACTGTTCTCTAATGTACAGTAGTTGTTAAGAAACTCTCAAGGAACTTTTTTGGCCCAAGTTCAGTTAATATTTAAGTATGGGCATAAAGCTCATGTACAAGAACGTTCACCACTGTTATTTTTTTTTAGCTACACCAAGATATCTTCCTACTGAATAACGGTTAAGTTAGCTACGGCTCATTCAGGAAATGAAGTATTACTTAGCCATTAGAAATCATGTTTCAGACTCTCAAACTTAGAAGAATGTTTAAGATCATGAGAAAATATTCAAAATATATTAAGAGAAAAAGCAAATTGCTGAAGTAGATATACTGCAGGAGTTCGAGAGTGCAGGTTGGAGAGCCAGACTGCCTGGGTTCAAATCCTCGCTCACCACTTAATTGTGTGAAAGAAAGCAAAAGTGCACAGCACATGGCGGAGACTCAATCAGCATAAGATGAATGCTGTATGTTGCCTCCTGTGGTGGGCAGAATAGTGGCCTCACCAACGGTGTCCAAGTCCTAATCACCAAAAGCTGTAACATGTTGCTTTACAGGTAAAAAGAACTTTGCAGGTGTGATTAGGTACTTAAGATGGGAAAGTTATCCTGAAACACCTAATTGGGTCTAATATAATCACAGGAGAGAAGTAGGAGGGCCAGAGAGAGAGAGAGTGAGAGGAGAGAGAGATCTGAAGATGCTGCACTGCTGGCCTTGAAGATGGAGGAAGGGGCCATGAGCCAAGGAATGTAGGCAGCATACAGAATGAAAGAGAGAAGAAAGTGAACTCTCCCCAGAGCCTCCATAAGGAACACTGCCCACTGACACCTTGATTTTAGCCCAGTCTTAGTTTGTTTGAGCTGCCATAACAAAATACCACAGACTGGGTGGTTTGAACAACACGCACTTATTTTCTCACAGTTCTAGAGTCTGGAACTCCAAGATCAAGGTGCCAGAATGGTCAGCTTTTGCTGAAGGCTCTCTCCCTGGATTGCAGACAGCTGCCATGGATTGAGGACAGCTGTGTCCTCACACAGTGGGTAGAGTAGCTGTTTGATGTCTCTTTTTACAAGGGCTCTAATCGTATCATGGGCTCCACTCTGTGACTTCATGTAAACCTAATTATGTCCTAAAGGGCCCGACCTCCAAATACCACAACACTGAGAGTTAAGACTTCAGCATATGAATTTGGGGGAGAGGGCACAATTCAGTCCACAGCAGATGAATTTTAGACTTCTGCCTTCTAAAGCTGTAAGATAATACATGTGTGTTTTAAAAAATCATTATTATTATTACTTTTAGAGACAAGGTCTCATTATGTTGCCCAGGCTAGTCTTGAACTCCTGAGTTCAAGCAATCCTCTAGCCTCAGCTTCCCAAAGTACTGGGATTATAGGCAGGAGCCACTGTGCCTGGATAAATCTGTATTTTTTAAACTACTATATTTGCGGTAATTTGTTACAGCAGCAATAGAAATGAATGCAAGTATAAACCCAATATTGCCTTCCATGCACCTACGGGCATGGAGAAAACCTAGGAAGGTGGCTATTCCTGGGAGGGTAGGATTATGAATCTCTTTTGATTATTTTTATATTTTTTCTACAATAATCACAAATTAATTTTAAAATATAAAAAAACCAGAAAACTGTTCTTGTCAATATTATTAGCCCATGCTGAGAAAAGTAGATAAACCTGCTTGCTTTAACCTTTATGGACAATGCAGATCCACAAGCCCTTCCGTCATCCCAGGCAGCGCAGACACAGAGGCGCTCAGAAGGAAAAGGCTGTTCATCTCTGTAATGGTGGTACTCATGAGGCTGTTGCAATGCAGACTATGGAGCAAGGAGGGCCAACGAATTTCACTCCAAATTAGCTAGTGGTGTCTCCCACCATGAGGGGGAAAGAAAACCAGGAAGCGTAAATTGGTGTTTCATGTTATTTATCATAAATAGTTATACTACTCTCTGGTCCAGAAAAAGCAAGCCATGCCTTGGCTGTGCTTCTGGATCTTCCAGGCATTACGGATTTCCCTTGGGCATCTGTGGCAGGCTGTGCTGACAGGGGGCAGAGAAAAGAATCTGCAATTCCTCCCACCCAAAGAGCCTGAGAGACAGAGCTGCATGTACTCAGAATACAGCTGTTGTCATCCCTGACAGCCCAAATCCTCCTCTGGAGGACTAGTTCTAACTTTTAAAAAGCCAAGATTGGGGATTCCACAAGTTCTGAAAATTATTTTGGTCAGATATTATGATTTGGGTGATTATTACACTCTCTATGCATGAAGTCTGAGGTCTTAAATCAAAGAGCCTTTGTTTCAACATTTCTCAAAAGAAAAGAAAAAGCCATCACCCACTCTTATTTAAAAACCAAACTGAACCAAACAAAAACACCCACCAGAGGACACGCCTCGACCAGAGCCTCCTTCAATGACCTCCTTTCTTCACGCAGCATCGGGACAAGGCTGCAAACATCTAAAGTGACTCACAAGTCACCAGCAAGAAATGAGCTCAGACTTGCATTTTCAATTTCGTTTCCTCTCAGGACAAGGGAACATCCTGCTTGTCTGCCCGGGTGCAGGGACTTGTGCGGTTCCAGCTGTGACCCGCACACCAAGAGCTGGTCCCTTCCACTTTCATCTCCTCCTTTGGAGGCCCCAGGGGTAGGAGAATGTGATGATATGAATCTTCAGATTATAAACCTACCTCCGAAATGAGAAATACCCCTGCTTGGCAAACAAGTCTGAGAAATTATCAAATATTATTGCTTAAAGGTAAGTCGGGGTGTTGGATGAGTTGCTGATACTGGGTTTATCCCAGTGAACACAACTGGAAGGCGATGAAAACTCCGGAAGGAAAGAAAGAGCTCTGCTCATACAGGGCAAGCAGAGTTTAAGACCAAAAAAGAAACAAGTTAATTAAAACAGTAAGAATGAAAATTATGGTGAATAGTCATTCTCCGCCAAGATCCTTTTGTTAAACACATTTCTGCCAGCATGGTGGGCTTGGCTGTGTGAAGATTACCTCCCCACAAAAGGAAAATATTTTTGTGGTAACGCGTGTAATTTTATTGTCACTCAATACATTTAATGATGGACTTTTTTTACTCTTTAGTTCTTTAAATCATAGTAGACTACTGAAAACTCATTATTCCTGACCTCAAGTTTCTAAGAGCAATGTTAATTCTAAGGGAGTAACTTGAAAAAATCCCAGCTAGAAATAGAAAGCAATTTTATTTTATTTTATTTATTTTTTGAGATGGAATCTTGCTCTGTCACCAGGCTGGAGTGCAGTGGCACGATCTCGCCTCACTGCAACCTCCACCTCCTGGGTTCAAGAGATTCTCCTGCTTCAGCCTCCCGAGTAGCTGGGACTACAGGTGGATACCACCTTGCCCAGCTAATTTTTGTATTTTCAGTAGAGACGGGGTTTCACCATATTGACCAGGATGGTCTTCATCTCCTGACCTCGTGGTCCACCCGCCTTGGCCTCCCAAAGTGCTAGGATTACAGGCGTGAGCCACCACGCCCGGCCAGGAAGCAATTTTATAATGTATGTTCTGTTATTTATTTTAGGTTCACAATGGCTGCAAAAGAGCAATTTACAAGTAATTTTACTAAGACTTTCTAGGCCTTTTCTTTCTTTTTAGAGACAGTGTCTTGCTTTGTCACTCAGACTGGTGTCCAGTGGCATGACCATAGCTCACTGCAGCCTTGAACTCCTGCTCAGGCAATCCCCCCACCTCATCTCCTGAGTAGCTAGGACTATAAGTACACACCACTAAATTCACCTATTTATTTTCCTATAGAAACAGGGTCTCACTGTGTTGCCCAGATTGGTCTTGAACTTCTGGTCTCAAGCGATCAGGCTTTTTCTTAAAACAAAAGAGCAACTGTAATGACAACAACAGTAACTCTTACTGGGAGCCTTCTACGTGCCAGGCCCAGTCTCAACTTTTTTATGAGGTTGGTAACTTTATTCCTATTTTACTGAGGTTTCGGATAAACCAAAACCTCAGGGTGGGGGATGGAGTTTCACTCTTGTCGCTCAGGCTGGAGTGATGATTATGTTATGATTATGCAATGATGAGCAACGTTATGATTTTGGCTCACTGTAACCTCTGCCTCTTGGGTTCAAGCGATTCTCCTGCCCCAGCCTCCCCAATAGCTGGGATTACAGGCATGCGCCACCATGGCAGGGTTTTCTGTTTTTGTTTTTGGCTTTTTTTTGAGACAGAGTCTTGCTTTGTTGCCCAGGTTGGAGTGCAGTGGGCATTGTAGCTCACTACAACCTCTGCCTCCTGGGTTCAAGCAATTCTCCTACCTCAGCCTCTAAGTGGCTGGGATTACTGGTGTGCACCACCATGCCAGGCTAATTTTTGTACGTTTGGTAGACATGGGGTTTCACTGTGTTGACCAGGCTGGTCTCAAACTCCTGACCTCAAGTGCTCTGCCCACCTCGGGCTCTGAAAGTGCTGGAATTACAGGTGCGAGCCACCTCGCCCAGGCTTCATACATGAATTTATACTTGAATAATGGGAAACAGAACTACACATATATTCTCTGGTGCACTAATGATCTGTCCCACACACTCTCCTCCTGCTCCGCCTCACCTCCTAGTTTTCCACCCTGTAAGTATGCAGCACACAAAGATCAAATCAATCTGAAATGCCAGTCTCCTGAGGGAAGTACACAGCAAGTAACTATGGCTAGTAAGAGACACAGTCATATTCTGCCCTGAACTCTGGCAGTCATAGAGCACATCCTGCTCCCAAGCCTGGCTTTGATTAGCTCCTATTTCTCACCAAAGAACTTGGAAGAATTAGGTTCCTTGATTCGCCTCCTCTTTGTCAGCTCAAAACTATGCATCTTATTTTTTTGTACATGGCCGAGTCTGATTCCTCAGAAGACGCTCCCCTAACTTGCAGCACGGAGTGGCCAGGCAGAAGTAGGCAATGAGGACATCACGTGGTGGCCCAGCAAGGCATGAGCCAGCAGGAGCCAACCCAGACACGTGATATATCCAAAGACCCAGCACTATCAGCAGGAATAGCAGAGCCTGCTTACACTAGGGAATTCAGCTGGTGGGGAACGTTCTGCTTTTTCCAAAGTTCTGCTGCCCAGAAGCTGTGACCACAGGCTTGCAACGGAAGAAAGACTTCTGGGCCCATATCATCTCAAGAGTGAGGCTGACACACAGGTTTAACCATGGCCGTGGCCCTTTCCAAACCTTTGAGGGCAATGTCTAAAGAGAATTTGGAATTCCAGAATTCAGAAAGTCCTGATTTCATTGCACACCTTCACCCCTTGCCAAACACAGCTTCGACATAGTCTTTTCTTATCAATTCCTTTCTAAATGGCTTGCATTTTTCCAGAAAACATACTTGCTGGGTTTAGATAAATAGACCACAGGGAAGTTCTGGTCCAAGGCAGAAGGATCAATTTTTAAAGGGCAAGGAGAACAGTAAGTAGTCACGGTGCTCAATGATCACCAGTCAACTAAACTTGACTTTGATCCCACTACGCCACAAGTGTTCACGTTTAGTTAATAGAATAATGAACACTTATCCCTGCTCATCCTCAAATTTAAAAATTGCTTCCTTGCTTGAGTAACCAGTTCTTTCAAAGTTTTCAAGGCATAAGCCTGCTTCTGGAGTGAATGGCAGACCTTCTCCCTGGGAAATACACTTTCAGAAATAACTCACAAGAGCAGCTAGGCTAGATGGTTGACGTAGACTAAATTAGTCCCTTAGCTGTCTGCTCAGATCTTTGGACAGCCCAAGCGATTTTGCCTATTGTAATTTGGGGCACTGGAATTGAGTTCTGAAAGCAGAAAGGAATCCTCCTGGGTCACTAGGGAAGCACTGTTTCATGGCCTCTGAGAGTCAAATTTATATATCCAGGCCACTGCAAGCGAAGGATTGCAGAGCTACAGGGGCTCCTAAAGGAGGATCAGGAAGGACCCAAGAAAATACAGAAGTTGTGCCGGAAACTGGGAAAGGGTAGAGGGAGCCTGAGTTACAAGTTGGAGAGAGAAGCTATTACTGTTTACCTCGTAGGGCAGGCTCAACAGATGGGAAGGAGGAGGTAGGGGAAAGAAGATGGATTCTAGAGACAAATGAGAGCCTGAGTTTGAAACCAGGCTCTATCATTTCCAAGCTGAGCGACCCTGGGCAATTCAATCTCTCTGGGCTCTATTAGTAATTCTTTGAAAGAGAATAATATTACAGGTCTACGACTCTTCATGCATAATTCCCAAATCCAAAAAACTCTGAAAACCAAGTTTTTTCATAACTTATTTAGCAACAAAACCTCACATGAGCTGACATAAGGCTCTCCTAGTCTTTACCCACTTAATGTCACTAATTCTTCTCAAGTTTTACAGTAGAAATTTAGTTTGATCACAGGGTATTGCCCCAGAACCTGCCAGCTATGTTAAATAATAGTATGTTCATTGCATTACCTTTCTAAATAATAGTATATACTTTATAACTTTTCTAAAATAAGAAAAAGTCTGAATCCAGAAATATATCTGGCCTTAAGAATTGAGATAATTTGTATCTTACAGGGCTGCTGGGAGGGTTCAGTGAGAAAATGAGAAATGACAAATGTGTGCGAAATAACTAGTATTATATGTAGCTTTAAGGTCTTGATAAATTGTAACTACCATGATTAGACTTGTGTCACCAGAGAATGTTCTGGAAATATGGTGGTGGACAATAGCTATCTGTGGATAGGCTACAATAAGCTTTAATTAGCTTCACACAGCAGGCACCTGCCTTGCAGGAAAGAGGGGCACTGTGTACTACTGATGAAGAGTTCTCTCATCATCAAGGTTTCCATCAGAGGCTGACACAGGGGCTTCCCCCATGGAGCAGTGATGGCACCTCAAATCAAACTGTGCCTCATCTGGCTCTAATTTAGCATGGAACACTCCACCAAGCCCTGCTTCGTGATGATTGTGTAGACACTCGCAAATATTTTTTTCCTAAGACTTTCCTTTTTGATACTTGAAGATAACAAAGGGGAAAAAGCAAAGACCCGGTTAAGAATTTTTACAATAATGTAATGATCACCTTATGCGGAATCTTAATCTAAACAGACAGCAGCAGAAGTCAACACTTCCTGTACATCTTATAAAAATAAGATTTATTACTATCACATCTTTCCACATGTTAGAAGACATGAACAGACACCCCAAGTTGTGGAACCTAATAGGCAACCTACGCCTTCTCTTTTTTCTCTTTTGCCACTCTTCATAATGTATGTCCCATGGAGTGAATGATCTGACTTGGTAGATGAATTCAACATCTGGCATGAAAACAGAAACTTTCAAAAAACAAATCATCCCCCAACTGGTTTCTCTGGCATGCTTAGAACTTGGAAGTGAAACCAGGATATCTAATAATAGACATAGATACTAAAGTGAGAACTGTTGGCAATCCCAACATGAAAAGACATTTGAAAAGATCTTAAACTGCAACTTCAATACAAAGTTTGGGTATTCCACCCCCCAATTCTTTCCTCAAGGGTGTTTTACAGCTGTGTGTGAGTTACCCCTTT